TTTTGTCTTCTGATTGGCCGAAAGATTTCCGCCACTGTTGCGTGCCCGATACTCTGCGCGTGCGGCCTTCATTTTGTTGCAGTCGAAGATTCGATGACCCGGCACCCCGCAAAAATCACACGTGTAGTTGGTGTTTTTCGGACGTGGCCGCCCGTCGAATCTGTCGATCTCCATCGGGTCGGCGAACGTGGTGTGAGCCGAGCGGTCGCCTTGTCGCGTACTGCCGACGTGCGTCCGTCGTGTTCCGGCGTTGACCATGTCGAAGCGCTCCGCGGCCGAAACGACGTCACTGTAGCTCGCATAGTTTGACGCTGCCACCTGTCGTTTGACTTCGGTCTTCAGCCCTGCGAGGTACGATTGCACTTTTTCCCCTTCGGTCAGGTCGGGAATTCGGTTATAAAATTCTTCCATCTGCTGCGTGTACTGTGCTACACTCCCGAACTGTCGATGGCGATGAATTTTTTCGCGGGCAAGGAAACTCGAATTTATCGGTTCGAAGCGTTTCAGCAGGTCGGCGCGGAACTGCTGCCACGTGGCTTCACCGTGGATGAAAGTACTGTTGCCGCCAATCCACTCGAGTGCCGGCCCTCGCATCAGTGTCGCCGCGAGTCGTACGCGTTGACCGTCCCAGACTGGCGAGCTCCATCCGACGGCTGCGAAGTAGATCTCCATCCCGGCGATCCATCTGCGGGCGTCGAAGTTTCGATCGCTCGGATCGAACGGCTCAGGTGGGCGCGGTTTCGGAGCCTCGAGAAACTGCTGCGACTGCTGCGTCGTCGCCGTTGTCGTCTCGTGCTGCGCTCCGGCGAGTCGAGTTACTCGCTCGAACAAGTTTAGCCACGCTTCGCGATCCGCTCGCATTTCCTCCTGAAGGGCTGCGATGCGCGCGAAGAGCTGTTGGGTAACCTCGGCGTTGTCGAAGGTTGCCATCCTGTTCAAAACACGCACGGAGGGGGTAATTCGAAAATCGCGGAGCTGGTGCTTACCAGATTCGGCGTCGAATTGGTCGCCCCCGGCGGTTTTTCGAGGCAGGATCCCGGCTGCTGCTGCTTAGCTGAGCGCGGTCGAGTGAGAAAAGCTCTGATTACCAAGTGTCACAGGATCGAATGTGTCGAGGAAAGGTTGCACTATCGATCAGTACAAGGCGCTTTTATACTTCCAGAGTACATCAGGTAACCAGGTTTATCCTATCCAAAGGAATAGACCCTTCTAGAATATAGAATCACCCTGCGTAGAGCCACGAGAGGCCATTGGCTTTAAGGGATTACGGCAGGATTACGCTAGATATAGCGCACCAATACATCCCAAGCCTGGTCGGTGATATACTTATAATAGCAGGATAAACCAAAGGTTAATGGGAAAGGAAGAATAGGAAACCAAATGAGATGCGGTAAAAAGAGAAATGAAAAGGGAAGGAAATAAGAAAAGGCCAAGTGGTGTAACGGGGTCGTACTCTCACATCTGGGGCTGCCTTGCTCACGTTCGTGCCTCTGGCATGGACAAGCTCACTGCCCGCACCCTTCCCTGCGTCTTCCTCGGTTTCCCCCTTGACGCGTCTGACTGGCACCTCTACCACCCGCCGTCTCACCGCTTCTTTCACTCTCGCGACGTCACCTTTGACGAGTCCGGCTCCTTCTACCGCCGCTTCCCCAACCGTGGTCCCCCGGTTACTCCCCCCCTGTTCCTGGTTCCTCCCTCCCTGGTGGTCCCTGCCCCTCCCCCCCCCCCTCCCCCCCGTCCGGCCCCCTCTGGTGTGTCTCACGTCACCCCCCTCCCGTCGGTCGTCCCGTTCGAGGAGTCTTCTGAATCTGGTAGTCCCTCGGCGCAGTCCTCGCCGCCAGTCCCTCCCCCGCTGTCTCCGCCTCAACCGCCTCCGCAGCCGCCGTTGCCACAGCTGCGGCAGCTGTCGTCTCCGCCGCCGCCGCCGTCGCAGCAGTTGTTGCAGCCGACGCCGCCGCCGCCGCCGCTGTCGTCGCTGCTGCCGTTCGTGGACTCAGGGGTTGCTGGAGTTGAGGTGGGTACTCGTCCCGGGGCTCCTGTCGTGGCTTGTCCCGGCGGGACTGGGGGTGGTACCGGCGCTGGCGGGGTTTCGGGCTCTGGGGGTGTCCCTTCTGGGGGTGCCGGCGTGGAGGGTTCGGGAGGTAGCCGTCGCGCAGCTTGCGGCCCTGGTGTTGGTGTTGTGTCGCAGCAGCAGCAGTCCCCGCCGGTGTCCGCCCTTCGTCTGCTCGGCCTTCCGTCCCCTGACCCTGCGCCTGTTCCTCTCCTGCCATCTCCTCCTCTTCCCGTCTACGGCCCCGTGTTCCCTCCGCCGGACTCGTCCCCGGCTCGTTTTCCCCCTCGTTCCCTACCCGTGTCCCCTCCTCTGTCTCCTGACCCGACGCCTCCCTCTCACGTCTGGTCTCGCCGTCCCTCCCGTGCTCGTCCTGTCTCCCCCGCCCCGCGCTCTCACCCTATGTTGCTACGTTCCCACGCGTCTCGTCCTCCCCTCCTCCCGTCGCCTCCTCCGTCTTCTCTTACAGTTGCGTCTCCTCCTCTGTCTGACCTCTTTAGTGCTGCTCGTCCTCTTGTTCCTCGGGTCCTTGCCTCTCTCGTTACCAACCCGTCTGTTCCGGTTTCGAGTCTTGACGCCCTTGTCGCTGCGGTCGCTGACTTCGCCTCTACCCGCCGCCTTGACTACGCCACCGCTCTGGTCTCTGACCCTGCCTGTCCTCCGTCTGTCGGGGGTGCTCCTGCCCTCGGCAGTGACGTCCTGGAGGACCGCCAGTTCGAGCTTGCTTTCCTGTCCGAGGCTGCTCCCCATCTCTATTCCATGCTACTAGTCCCTGAGGGTGACCCAGACGCCTTCGACATCTCGACCCCTCGTACTTACGCTGAGGCGGTTTCGGGACCCTGGGCCTCTCAGTGGATAGCTGCCATGGAGCAGGAGATGGCATCTTGGAGATCCACCGGCACCTTCGTCGACGCAGTTCCCCCACCTGGGGTGAACGTAGTCGATGGCCACTGGCTCTTCAAGGTGAAGCGCCCTCCTGGAGAGCCGCCTGTGTTCAAGGCGCGCTACGTGGCTAGAGGTTTCAGTCAGCGCGAGGGGGTGGACTTCTTTCAGACTTTCGCTCCTACCCCGAAGATGACTACTCTTCGGGTTCTGCTACACGTAGCGGCTCAGCGTGACTACGAGCTTCACTCCCTCGACTTCTCCACTGCCTTCCTTCAGGGCAGCCTACACGAGCAGGTCTACCTGTGTCGCCCTCAGGGCTTCACTGGCGCCTTCCCTCCTGGGACCGAGTGGCTTCTGTGGCGCCCAGTCTACGGCCTGCGCCAGGCGCCCCGTGAGTGGCACGACACGTTGCGTGCTACCCTCGCTGACCTGCAGTTCTTTCCGTCCTCTGCAGACCCCTCACTCTTTGTTCGTGCTGGCCAGACTCTGTTTTACATCCTTGTCTACGTAGACGACCTGGTCTTCGCCACTGCAGACAGGGACGCACTGGCCTCCGTGAAGGCAGAGCTGCTGAAGAGACACACTTGCACTGACCTTGGAGAGATGCGCCGTTACCTTGGTTTGCAGATCTCCAGGGACAGAGCCGCGCGCACCATCACCCTGACTCAGTCACACTTGGTGCGCCAGGTCCTTCAGAGGTTCGGCCTTCAGTTCTCCTCAGCACAGCCCACCCCTCTTCCTCTGGACCACAGACTCTCCGCTCCAGTTCCTGAGGAGTCGGTAGATCCCAGTGGTCCTTACGCAGAGGCGGTGGGTTGCCTCATGTACCTGATGACTTGCACTCGCCCAGATCTCGCATACCCTCTCAGCATTCTGGCGCGCTTTGTGGCCACAGGCAGACACCGACCTCAGCACTGGTCTGCCGCTAAGAGGGTTCTGCGTTATCTTGCAAGTACATCGGGCATGGGGTTAGTGCTAGGCGGAAGCAGGCCGGTGGTCATGACTGGACACACAGACGCTTCTTGGGCAGACGACGCCGAGACGCTCAGGTCTTCCCAGGGCTACTGCTTCAGCCTTGGCTGAGGTGCTGTCTCGTGGAGAGCTACCCGCTCCTCGTCTGTTGCCCAGTCCAGCTGTGAGGCTGAGATCTACGCCGGTGCCATGGCGGCACAGGAGCTCCGCTGGCTGACCTTCTTGCTCGCTGACTTAGGTGAGCAGCCTAGCTCTGCCCCGGTCCTGTACGCTGACAACTGGGCCATGATCCTCCTGTGTCAGGAGCCTCGACTCGAGGGCAGAGCGAAGCATATCCAGCTGCGGTACTTCCTCCTGCGCGAGCTACAGCAGCGACACCAGGCTCGCGTTGTACACTTGGCCTCAGGTGCCAACACAGCTGATATCTTTACGAAGGCACTTGCGCCTAAAGATCATCAGCGGCACTGTGTACAGCTTGGTCTAGTTCCTGTAGTCTCTTACTTGCTTGGGCCTTGACTTTGTACTGTCATATATATATGTACACTCAGACTGGACTTGTGTCCTCTCACAGTGGTTGGACTAGTAGTGCCGCCCTGTACTTGTTCTTGCCTTGTCTGTACTCCTTCTGACTGGTCTTTTAGACCCTTGTCTCAGAGGCTGGACTAGTAGTGCCACCCTGAGCTGTTTTGTCATGACCTGCCCCTATGCAGTCTAGGGGGTGTGTCAAACATGTATATCTACTATGTTTGCATAGACTGAATAGAGTCATGTCTTATATAGGGTACAACTCTTAGGTATATTCACATATTCTTCTACTCTGATAGAAACGACTGTCCTATGACGAGCGCTATTTGCTGACGTCATCCTACGGACTTATCTTCTACAGTAGGATTCGGCACTACACATAATCGACTTACAGAAATGCTAAGTACCAATTATATCACAACAATAGCAACTTCCGTGTGAAAGCTGCGGCTTGACTAAGAAGTCTTACCAGGATATGCCTCATCAGCTCTGAACCCTTCAGCAGCAGGGCCGAATTTAGGTCCACCCAGGTACCAGCTGACTCTAGGACTCATGTTGAGAGATGTCAGGGAATTGAACATTTCACACATTTTACATCCCTTGTCCACAAGTATGATATTTATTAAAACACATAACTTCCCCTACAGCTCAAAGCATTCCACTCTGCATCATGTGTGCTAACTGGCCCTGGTGAGCTCGAGTGGCAGTAGTATGTACTAGGTTTTTCAGCCTAAGAGTCGAGAAATGCCTCCTGTGGAGCATCAGCCAAAATAGGCGGATGCAAAAACAGCAGTGGCTGCTGCACTGAAGGCAAGAAGAGGCGCGGCTGGCATGGGCTTTCCTGTGAGGAACAGGCGGATGGCTGCACGGTGCGTGAGGGCGAATCGTGGCGGAGGTTGGTGGACGGTGGTTGGTGGTTGGTGGTGGTGATTGGACGGCAGGGGGGAGGGGGAGGAGAGGGGATGGAGCGAGAGGAGAGGGAGAACAAGGGGGCAGGAGGGGTGTGGAGAGGGTGTGAGGGGCGGAAAATAACATGGAGTGGTGTCATTGAGCATCAGTCAAGTGGGTATGAGCATGGTGGAAGTAGAAAAACAGCAGACAAGGGGTTGGGCTCGGGCAGGTCCGAAAGACAGGCGAAAAGCATGTATGGGGGAGACGGTGGGAAGTGGGTGGGATGGTAGGGAGCGGGGGGAGGGAGGGGGAGCGGGGGGAGGGAGGGGGAGCAGGGGGAGGGGCGGGGGGCGGAGAGGGTGGGAGGAAGAAGAGAGAGTGTGTTGAGGAGGTGGACGGACCGAAGAGGGCACAGAAGAGAAGGCCAGCGCCGAAGCCCAGAGCGTTGCCCAGGGATTCCGTCTGAGCGCTCTGAATGAGATAGAACGCCTGCGATGAGCATGCATGCACGATGGGAGGGGGAGTGGGGGGGGGGGGGAGAAGAACGGAGCGGGCGGATAGGAGGGTGCGCCCCAGAAGAGTTGTACAACTGCTACGGGAGACAGAGAAGGAACAGAGCCACTTGTATTGCCAGCAAGTTATGTGAGAGAGGAGAGAGCAAAGGCGGGAGCATCTGGCTGGAGGGTGAGGAGTATGCAAGGTGGTCCACGTGGTGACTGATAGGGGAGAGGAGAGGAGTATGCAAGCATGGGCAGACCGACTCAACTGCTCGGGTCGGGTGCTTGCAAGGTGCCACCAACCAACCAGCGTGGCTGCGGGGCTTACGGGTGAAATTGGCAGCCACGCTGGCTGGTGGCACCCTGCAGAACCAAAACAGCTTCGTAGAGAAGCGGACAAAACGGCTAAGAGGACGAGGGAATACGGCGCCATATCAGCAGTGGAAGGAGCGCACACAAAAAAGGGTAGTGAGAGAGGGCGAGATGGGGAGCACGTGAGAAACGGGGAGCACGCACCGTGGCAAAGAGAGCAGCGCCCGTCAGCCCGCCTCCCAGTGAGTACTTGCTGCCGGTGCGGATGTCTGGGGTGGTGGCGGGGGTAGCGGGGGGGAACAGGGGGGAATTGGGGGAAGCAGGGGGAAGCAGGGGGGAGCAGGGGGGGACGGGGGGAAGTGGGGTGAGAGATAAAGCGGATCTGGGATCGCGGGCCCACAGAGCTCATGGCGGGAGAAGCATGAGGAGAGACTGCACTCAAATACCATTTGCTGAGACGGAAGACGGCTAGTAAAGCCTGCTCTGAGGCGTTCTACTCTGGTCGGACTGCACGGCGTTTTGACTGCAAGGGAGCCAAGCATGCAAGGGCGGAAAAGCAGGGGAGCAGAGGTCAGTCAGTGAACTCACAAGCGAAGAGGCCGCCGAACAGCAGAGAAGCGCCGTACGCAGCCGCCGTCAAACCCGCGGCGTCTCCCAGTCCCGCGGTCGCCGCCATCGCACCCCCGCCTCTCCGCACGGCCTTAGCACTGTCCCCGCGAGATCCCGCCGACAGCCCGCGCGCGGGAAGCTGCAAGGGGGATCCGCGCAGCCACGAGGAGCCCCGGGGCGCAGCAGCCGCGCGGCGAGCCGCGGCGCTGGAGGCACGTGGGGTAGGCGCGGCGATGGGAAGCGGGGAGGCGGACGTTGGAGCGGCGGAGGCTGCACTTGAATGGGCGAGGGGGAAGCTGACGGTGCGAGTCGGCGTGGCGGAGAGGCCCGCGGAAACGACAGTGAGCGCCATGGGGCGATGGGGGAGAGCGACGACGGCGGTGAGAGAGGCGCGACGTGCGGTGATGGAGGGAGGCTAGGAAGGGACGGCTAGGATTTGGGGGGGAATTTGCCGAGAAGGTTTGGTGCGGTCTCTGGTTTGCATGTGTGCGACACAGCACCCTTGATACCGCAGCACCGAAGAGCTGGTAACCGTATGGAGTGCATCGTTTTAGATGTCGTTCGGATTCTGATTGTTACAGCACGAGTAGGCATGCGTGTTGGTACTACAGTGTGTCAGTATCGCAATAAAGGCTGGCTCAATCCAAATGGGCTGATGCACGTGCTCCTTACTCCTGTGTTGGACCACTTGTGCTTGTGTGCAATTACCAGATAGACCGACTTGATAGAGTACCGGTAGGTTCTGATCTGATGCCCGTGACTCATGGCCCTTGATTGACCCTTGATTGAAGTCAAATAATGGCCCTTGATTGACCAGTGAGCATAAATGTTGATAGGGGTTACAATGGGTGGGTGGCGATGGGTAAGCACCCTGGTGAATGGCAGGGAGCAGCAGCGATTTGCAAACCATGACATCTTGAGCTGCAGATTGATTTGAGTAAAACAGCAGCAGAGGGTTATTGGAGCCCCTTGTTCAGCCATCACCCTGCTGCTGACTGAGATGGACAACTTACAGCAGTGACGCATGTCAGATCAGCACCCAGCAAAGGCCGCAGAGGCAGCTCCGAGTACCAAGCGTCAATGGCCACCCCCCCAGCTCGGAAGTGGAGATGCCCATAGGCTATAACCTATATCAATGAAAGAATCTTCGAGAAGTGGAGGGTTGTACAAGTGCAGCTGAGGAGACGACGACTGCCGAGGTGCGCAAGCCTGGGGTTGGTTGGTTAGCCAGCTGACAACCCTCCGCACCCGCACCTCCCTCTGCAGTCTCAAGAAGCAGAGCACGCGAGGCAGCAGTTTGGGTAGCTGCTCTTGCCGGGCGTGCAGCCCAAGGGGCACGGGTAGCGCGGGCGGCATACGAAGGCAGCAGCGCCGGACCGCGCAGAGTCGCTCCTCCCAGGGCAAGTCGACCCATTGCAATCCAAAGCTGCCGCTGCCTGCGCTAGCAGCAATCGCCGGGCCATGGGGCTCGGTGTTGCGGCGGCAGCAGAAGCAGAGGAGGAGGAGGTGGATGAGGAGGATGAGGAGGAGTTTGACGAGGGTGGGGGCTGGTAGAAGGACGCCTCGAAGAGCACGAACTGGAAGCCAACAGACGTGGGGGATGGGTCGGGACGGTGCACCAGATACGTGGTGGTCCACGTGACTCCGCCCATGTACACGGGGTCTCTCTCTGACGTGAACAGAATGGCTGCGGCGCCTGTGGGGCCCGGCTGCACGGCTTTGGGCGCAAGGGACAGCTGGCCGTTGGAGGCGTAGGAGGGCGTGAGGTACTTGGGGAGCACATAGCGCAGGGCGATGTCGAATGTGGCGTACTGGAGAGTGTATGCCACTGCTGGAGCCTGCACAGGGGAGAGAGGGGATGTTTGAGGGAGGGGGGGGGGGGGAGATGGGGGGAAGATTGGGGTTAGATGGCAGAAGGGGTTGGGGGAGGAGGGGGGCGGGGGGAAGGTAGTGCTAAGGGAGAGAATGGTGGACGATGCATAGAGGGTAGTTATGGAATCCACGAGAAAAGAGCGAGCGTGGGGGAAGGGAGGGAGGGAGGGCGAGAGGGAGACGAGGGTGTGGTGGAGGGAGGGGTATGGTACGGTGCGGTGCGGTAACCATACTCACCGAGACGGTCTCTGTGGTGGGCCGCTTGGGGGAGTCGGCAGAGTCCAGCAACACAACGGTGGGCGCGCCCAGCACCTCCAGAGGCTTGGACGCTTTATTCACTGCACTCAGCACCACCACATCCGCCGCTCCCCCTCCCTGCTCCTGCTGCTGCTGCTGCCGCTGGGCGCTGTTAAAGCTCCCGGCACCCCCCACATCCGCCGCACCACTGCTAGCAACGGTAGCGCCGTCCGAACCTCCGCCGTCCGAGCCTCCGCCGTCCCCCCCCTGGTCGGCGCCGAGCACGCGGTTCCACCAGACGCTCACGTTGAAGGACGCCTGCGCGACGACGGCGGGCAGCACGCGCGTGGGGAGCGACGCCACGTAGGTGCGGCCGAAGGAAGTGACGTTCACGTAGTATTGCATGTCCAGAAACGCGGGGCTCCAGGGCAGCGCGGAGTTATAGCAGATGCCGTTGCCGTTCCTGACTGGCGAAGGCGGGCGGGGGGGAGAGGGAAAGGGGGGAAGGGGGGAAGGGAACAGGGAGGGAAGGGGGAGGAGAAGGGAGTGAGGGATGGATGGAAGGAAGGATGGAGGGAGGGAGGGGTGGAGCAGCGGGTGAGGTGGCTGGAATGACAGGTTCAGGAGGGAGTGGGAAACGAAAGCTGGATGGGGGAAGGGGTAGGGATTTCGGGGTGGGGGAGGATATGAAGTGGGGTGAGGTCAAAAGGGGGGATACTATTTTTGAGGAGCCTCAAAACTAGACTCCTCACGCATGATACTATTTTTGAGGCGCCTCAAAAATAGACTCCTCACGGGTGGGGGAAAGGATGAAGTGGGGTGAGGTCAAACGGGGGGATGGGCTGCCTCGATAACCGGTGCATAGAACCCGCATCAGTAGAAGAATAGAGAAGCGAGAAGGGGGAAGGGAGAGGGGGGGAAAGGGGAAGGGAGAGGGGGCGACGCTTACTGGAGGAGCCCGGGTTGACGCCAGCGAACATGACGTCAGCGTAGTTTAGGTCGAAGGCACCCGTCTGGGTGGCGGCCGCCGCGTTATCGTCGCTCGCCTTGAGACAGATGGCGTTGCCCGTCTGCTCGAACCGCTGCGATGGTTTGTGCGATCGATCGCGAGACGATGGTGGACGGATCGCGTGGCGCGTTCGCGGAGATGGCGCGGGGGAAGCAGCAGAGTGCGGGGAGGAAGCAGGGCGGAAGGGGTGGGAATGGGAGAGGTTAATGAGCGCGAGGTGGTTGGGGGAAGGGGAGGGGGGGGGAGGGGGGGAGAGGGGGGGAAGTGGGGCACAATCATGGGAGCACGACAACGGGTGAAATGCGACGAAGCGGCATTGCGCGGGGAATGGAAAACATTCGCGGCACGACGACGCGCACGAAGCGGCATTGCGCGTCGCGCAACTTGCACCTTGAAGGTCGTGACGCGTGTCGCACTCGACTCGTTCGATACTAGCACTCACTGTGAGCGAGTAGAGCACTTTGCCGGCGCTTGCTGTCGCGAGGAGTGACAGAACGAGGATGGATGCGCTTATTCGACGAAGGGGCGCCGTTGTCGTGAATGCGGCCATCGTTTTTGTTCAACCTCAGAAAGTAGTGCCTACTGGGGTTGTAGGCTGTACTGATCGGCGACAAGGCTAGGAATCTACGACTGGGAGATAATACTGCCAGCAGCTTGATCTTACGAGGTTGGGAGTCCAGTTCAGGAGCTCCGCAGTTTAGGACGTGGTGAAACACAGCTCGGCTCAGCTTGGCTTCGAAGAAAACGCATCTGGTCTGGGCTTAGACCAAAGATGTCTGCGGCTCAGCTCGGCTCAGCTTGGCTTTGCGATTGCGGTTCGCAAAGTTGTTTTGCGTTATGAAACGGTCAAATAAAATTCTAGAGCGGTTTAGTATGGTATTTTGCCAAAACGATTTTTGGTGACACCCCCGTAGGATCGTGGTGAAGGCAAGCTCCTGCTTTGTGCTCGGATGATCAGATCAGATCAGACCTGCCCCGCATTCCAATTTCCAAATGGCCGGAGGGGGGGGGGGGCAACCAAGGCGCGTTCTTTCGCGTCCTTTTCCCGCAGGTGAAATGCGCGCTGTCTTTACGATTCGGGTTTCCCTTCTCAACTCTTTTGCTGTCTAAAAAACTGATAAGAACGAACCAGAACAGCCGGACAGAGAGACTGTGCGGCGAACCAGCTTCCCATGTTGAAGTTATGTTCGTTTTATTTGCCCAACATACTACACAGGTCCCTAGGGCCATCACTCTTGTAAAATCACTGTTTGCGTAGCCACTCATGCTGACGTGGTGACCTCGATCTGGCGGCAAACAATACGACGAAATTGTCCATTTGGATGGACGGGCCACTTCCCCATCAACCAATTTGCTGTTTCTCCTGAAATCTTCTCTGCTGGAAAGGCCTGTTGCCTCAAGCAAAAACATGTTCTACACTGTGCAACTGTTCTCGAGCACAACTGTACATTTTGGCAGCTGCAGCATCCACGAAGGACTCTATAGGAGTTGACTCGCTCAACAATAGCGTGCTGCAGTCTTTGTGACCATGTCTGTTATGAATGGGACTGCCGAGTAGCGCGGAGGGCAATGGCGAAACTGTGAACGAGTGAATGACAATAAAATGAAAGAACACACAATATATAGAAAACCTAGGGTGATCCTGGCCGTCGGATTGGAAGGTTCGGGAAAAGTATCGAAGGGCCTCGATGTGTCGTAGCGAGGTCCGGGAGGCCCAGGATAGGTCTGGAACCCTGGCGATGGTTCGGGACTGTTCGAGTCGTAGGCCTTGTAGCAAGCCTCAGTAAGGAATTACGCATTCCTTACACTCTCCCCCCTTCTAGATAAGCACACAAATAACAAAAACAACACACACTCTAACTGAATCTCGTAGTAGTGAAGCCACCACTGTTGAGAATCTCGAGCTTCTTCAATGAAACTCCATCCAACGGTCGAAACGTGTCGAAACTATCGCGGTCGATCGTAGCCGTCGAATCTTGGTCGAATTACCCAGATAACCAAACGGGCAGTAGTGATACCACCGCACCACAGCTTCCCTGTCTCCAGCGAATCTTCGCCGAGAATCACAAACCCAATCGTCGTGTACTGTATCCGCACAGTAACACTACGATATTCACACTGCTGCAAGTTGGCGAGCCGAATCTTCTGCATAGCGCCAAACTTGTCTGTAGCTTCGTAACTGTAGATCGCTCCTCGTTTAATTCCACGTGAGTCGTGACACTCGCAGAAACACACGTCCCCATTTCGCAAAGTCCATGACCTCCTGCTTTTCGTCAAATGCGAGGTCACTCGCGACACATGCGAGAACACGCGTCCGTGTCTCACGACAGTCAGTGAATTCCATCAGCTGGTGGACGAAAGCACAAACATTCCAGTAACCGTAGTCGATGTCGCCTCAGGCGATTAATCTAAACACGCCTTAAAACTTCCGCGAACTCTTGCGAAATTCCCGAACCGCCAAAACTCGAATTTATCCGTCGATTCAGTCGGTCAAACAGCATCTGTCCGTCGATGCTCCTGCAGCGGATGTCAAACTTGTCGAGGGAAACTCCAAATAACAACTGCTGCGCAGCTGCTCTCTCCCCCCTCCATGAAAAGAAAATCTTCCGTCGTTGATGCCGAAAATACACTGCTGCAAGTTTCTTCAGATCCGACAATTTGAGGTATCTTCAAACTCTGTTTGTCGGGAAAAGTCTCAGCGCGACCCTATAACGCAGGGCAGCTGCGCCACATAGACGCTAGCTCCATCCTACGCCGTAGATCAATATTCTGCTCCGCAGAATGCCGTTGATCTGCTTCGCGCTGTTACCCTTTGTATAAATTTTCTTAACTCCACCTGACCGGTTGGCCGTGCAGACGTTCACCCATCGTGCGGCTACGGCAGGTACCCCAGAAAAACTCAGGTACAGTTCTCAGCTCCGAAAAAACGCATTCTCTGCAGTTTCACCGACTAACCGTGCTGGTATTTAAACCTTCGCACAACTCGGTAGGTACCCGTGACCCAAGCTACCGCTCCAGCCAAAAACTTGAAGTATTCCCACCCGGAAAATACCCGACGTTTAGCGACGCGCCGACATTCACCCGTCATTGCGCCCGTCCAGGTAAATCCCTGAATCGTCGTCCAGCGCCCACGTTCGTCGTCGGGGGATCCGTTTGCCGCTGACTCTTAATTTTTTCCCGGCTGTTACCCAGTCGTTCTCCTTCTCTGCTACACCTCTTCGTCGTTGACTTTTAGCGGTGACCTGGCGGATGACACTTAAACTCGACCCGAGGGTAGTTGCTGGTCGTCCTCCGTAGATCGTGGAATGTAATTTCTGACCACAAAAATGGCTTCCTCTGCAAGAATCCAGACTCGCCGAGCTCGCAACTCCAGGGCAGACGAATTACACCTCAAGGCGAGCAGGTCGCGCGAAACAATTTCGAGGTCAGTACTCCCCGAAACTTTTCCGTGCCTGAGCCCCACGTGTGCTGCCGTGCGATCCTTGGTCGTGCCGAAAACTCCAACGCCGCGTTTGCTGAACAGTATCCGATGTCCCGTCTTCACCTGCGTGTCGCGTGCCGGAAACGCCAAGCCCTTGACATCAGCTACACTTCACCATGCAGCAACGTCTGCTACAAGCGCTCCTGACGAAATCCATTTCGCCTGGGGATATCCGCGAGCTTGTCGTCTCGTGACGAGCTCCTCGCTCCATTCGGACAACAATCCGAATCGTCGTTGCTGCTTGCCGAAATTGCCGAAACCGCAACCGAAGCACCTTTAACGATATGCGAAATGTACAACATACCGGAAACACTCTTCAAAAGCTTCGTCATGTCAGGACGGACACAACCGCCCTCGAGGGGATGGCCGAGCGAATCCTGCTCGTCCCTTGGGGTCGGATCGACGGTCGTTAGAAGCCCACGCAGACGCAGTTGTGGAAGTACATCATATCATGCTTCGGGACAACCGCTGTGCCTTCTGTAGCGCCATCTGCCTTCTCCCCCTCCCAAAAAAAATTTGCTCTCAGAAGCCCAGCGGGTGAGGAAAGTGGGTATGAATACCAAGTGTTATGAATGGGACTGCCGAGTAGCGCGGCGGGCAATGGCGAAACTGTGAACGAGTGAATGACAAAAAAATGAAAGAACACACAATATATAGAAAATCTAGGGTGATCCTGGCCGTCAGATCGGAAGGTTCGGGAAAAGTATCGAAGGGCCTCGATGTGTCGTAGCGAGGTCCGGAAAGGCCCAGGAGGCTCGAACTGATAGGTCTGGAACCCTGGTGATGGTTTGGGACTGTTCGAGTCGTACGCCCTGTAGCAAGCCTCAGTAAGGAATTACGCATTCCTTACAATGTCCCTCTACAGCTTCACCATAGGTCCTTAGCTTCTAAATGAATGCTAATAAATTTAGGCATGTAGCCTCTAAATTTTGACCTCACGCTCTCTAAAAAGAGCAATGGCCCCAAGCCAAAGAAATCCTCTCTGAAGTTCGCATTTTACAGCTGTATGTTAAAATTCATGCATTAGCAATGACAGCCTCCGTGGTTCCCTAAGAGTTGCTTTATCTGCCCGTCTGCACACCTTCATTCGGCCCATCCTCTTCACTTTCATCAACCCCCTCGCCATTCTCATCACCCTCCCAATTTTCCTCAGCATCCTCCCCATCAACCCCATATTCAACATTTTCATCACCCCCCTCCCCATTGTCATATGCATCCTCCTCCTCATGTTCATAATAGTCTTCACATTCTGCCCCTGTTTGAACAGCTCCTCCTGCTTCTAGCCCATACCCCTCCCCCATTTGATCCTCCCCTCCTGTCAGCTGTTCCTTCTCTGGAGGCTGAAGCGAGTCTGAGGGAGTTGCAACTGCTGCTTCCGCTGCTGCTGTTGATGCTGCTGTTGATGCTGCTGCTGCTGCTGCTGCTGGCGGTCTAGATCCTGGCAGGGTTATAGCAGAAGCTGTAGGAGCTGCAGCATGCACAGCAGCACCAGAAGCAGTAGCAGTAGGGGTAGCAGCAGCAACAGAGACAGCTGCAGTAGTATGTGTGGGAGGAGAGCTGGGTGGGTGACCTTCATTCTTCTGCCGCAGGATGACATGCAGTGAAGGGGAACAGAAAAGGATAAGGGGAAGGGATGGAGTAGAAACCGTGTGAAAACAAAGGCAGAGGCCAGTACATGGCAAACAGACTAGCTAAATAAGTACTAACTGCAAAACCGGCATATGGCAGCGAAGGATGCCATTGATCCATTCCTATTTTTGAAAGGCTTTCTTCTTTTAGCTTACCGTGCCCCACCATCCCCACACACTGCCACCGCTACTCTTCTTGCCCACATCCTCTCTATCACCAGCACTGCTGCCACTCCCAACATTTCTCCCTCCTGCCACACCTGCCAGCCCTCCTCCCAGCCCGTATCTTAGCACTGCTTCCCCTCCTCCCCTTTCTCTTCCTCCCACTCCACCCCCCCCTCTCTCTTCCCCCCATCTGTCCCCCGTAGCAGTAGCATGGTTGAGTAGCCACTGCCGGACTCTCTCCGCCTCCTTCTCCTTCTTCTCCACCCTGCGCCGACACTCCGCCGCCTCCTGGTGATTGCAGCACGAGCACGCAGCCACAACACACAGCCACCACATGCCAGCCGGTACCATGGCAACCACACGCCAGCCAATGCCATGGCAACCAACAAGGCACACGGATTGTGGACCAGGGAAGGGGGGAGAAGAGGGGGGGGGAGGGATGCGGTGTGGTTGAGCATTGTCAATGGCGCTTTGGGGAAGGGGAGAATACACAGCAGCTTGATAGACTGCAAGAGGTGCAGACTTCCCCCTCTCACTCACTCCATCACTGACAGAAGCTCGGATTGGGAAGTCGTGCTACCAGTAGTATTTCAAAAGACACGCAGACAGGCAGGCAAGGCATCCAAAGTGAGGCTGGAAACGAGGAGGAGAGCATGAGAGAATATGCACGGGGCGAGACGAAGCGAACTGAGGCGCGTGACAGAATCTAGGGGTGTTGACACATGATGTGACGAGAGTACAGAGCACTCTCACTCACACCTGGTGCAGCAGCTCGGGCAGTCTCTGCAGCCCCCTTCATAAGAATGTGCCGTGCTGTGTGTGACACTGTGACTAGGTGACTTTTGAGTCGACTCACCTGGTGCAGCTCGGGGAGTCTCTGCCGGGCCTTGATGAGGGACGACTGGGTCCACATGAGCTGCTCCCGCATCACGCGTATCTCATCCAGCAGCTTCGCCCTGTCCCCCGCCGGGCCCGACAGCGGCCCCGCCACCGCAGGCCCCGCCATCCTCCCCATCGCAAACAGCTTCTTTAACCCCGCTGCCGCGCTGCTCTCACCTGCCGCTGCCAGGCTTGCGGCCGCACTCAGATCCGGATGGTCCCTGTCTATCTGCCTCAGCTTCAGGCTCTTCTCTTCCAGATCCGACCTGATCACCTGCTCTGTTGCCTCTAGAGCGATGATCCTCCCCTCCACCTCCTCCTCCTCCAGCGCCCGTACCTTGGCCTCCTTCCCTTCCTCCTCAATCTCCCTGCTCAGGACCCTTTCCGTCTCTCGCAGCGCCTCAGCCTGCTCGCGAATCATCTCAGCCTCGACTAGCTTCGCCTGCACGGCCTGCAGCTCGCGCTGCACGTCCTCCATCAATCTCCGCTCCCCCGCCACCACTGCTTCGATCGCTGCCTGCAGCTTCTCAGCCTCCTGCACCCGGCGCATCACCTGCTCAACCTCCCTCTCTAGCAGCTCTGCCAGCAGCTTGCTGGCTACAGGTTCCTCGTCCCTGCCTTGCCCTTGCGCCCCCCGCGCTCCCCCCCAATCAGTCCCCCCTGCACTCCCTCCTCCGCCCCCCCCTCCAACAACTGAAGTCGCAGCAGCAGCAGCAGACGCAGCAGCGGAAGCAGCAGCTGAGGCAGCAGCTATGGCATCAGCCATGCCGGAGAGGTCCGAGCCTATCCCGGACCATCCCTTCACACGGCTCCTCTCAGTCACAGCAGCGTGTGTCTCTATGCTCCTCATCACCTCCTGAAGGTCCTCTTTCACACTCTCGATATCTGCCAGGGTGATCCGGTACCTATGGTACGCCGCTCCCTTGTTCCTCGCCTGCACCTCATGCACCTTCACCAGCCGAGACACCTCACTCAGCAGCGCAAACAGGCACTTTTCCGCTGCCTTCTCTCGTTCATTCGCCGACGATACAAGCACTGCCGCCGCCGCTGCGTCCACTTCGGCTCTCTGCTTGGACTCCCCCACCAGCTGGAGACACACGCGGCTGAAAGCAGCCCGTATGGCCTCCCTTTCTCGCTCCTCCTCGGCCCTGCTCTGCACCTCGCGTGCCTCGGCCACCTTGTGCCGGCCCTCCTGCACCTCCCGCTGCAGCACGGCCACTTCCAGCTGGAGAGCCTCTGATTTCCGCTGTAGCATCTCACCCTGCTCCTTCAGCGCCTTCACCTGCAGCTCCAGCTGCTCCTTCACTAGCTGCAGCGCTGCTGCTGCCGACTGAGCGTCCCTCAACGCAGCAGCAGCAGCGTCACCGCCCCCGCCCCCACCACCTCCACTTGCGTTTGACTCGCCTGCCTCAGGGGCGTGGTCGCTGGGGCCTGCTGCGCCATCAAAGGCAGAGTCAAGGGACTTGGGCAGCATACCCGAGTCTCCCCCTCCTCCGTTCCCCCCTGCTGCCACTGCCCCCTTCCCCTGCATCCCATTCGCTCCACTGGCGCCCTCTCCTATCCTGCCATCACTACCAGCAGCAGCCGCGCCACCAGGAGTACCACCAGCAGCAGCAGCGGGGGCAGCATTGGCCTTGGCTAGCTGGCGCTCCAGGTCCCTCTTCACCCGCTCCAGCTCCTGCCGCTTCTGCCACTCCTGCTCCGCCATCACCCCCGCCTCGGCAGACAGCTCCCTCTCCGTCCTGAGCTCCTCGTTCAGCGCGCCCACCTCGCGCTGCAGCTCGCGCTTCTCCTGCCCCAGAGACTGCACCTCGTGGCTCAGCCGCTCCTCCGCTGCTTTCAGCTGGGCCACCTCTGCGCGGCACAGCACGAGCTCCTGCTGCACTGCTACCAGGTGTACTCCCCCGTCGGTCCCTGATCCTGCCCCTGCTGCTGCTGCTGTTTCTGCTTCTGTAGCTGAAGGTTCCGTAACGAGCTCAGCTGTGCCTTCAGCGTTCACTGTTTCACCACCAGCTGCCGATTCTGCACCTTCCTTGTTCAAATAACTCGCAGATTCCACCCCCTCCCCGTTCCCATTGCTGTCACCATCCCTTCCTTCTCCACCTGCTCCAGCTGCTACGGACACAGCAGCTGCTATGGCAGATGCGGAGGAGGGTAAGGCAGTGCGGGCAGGGGAGGGAGGGCGGTGGGCAGTTGCAGCCTGGCCGGTTGACGCCTCTGCGAACTGCTTCTGCCAGTGGTTGCGCTCAGCCTCTAGCTGGGTCAGCCGCACTCGCAGCTCAGACTCCTGGTGCGGGTTAGCAGGGAGCGGGGAGGGGGAAGTGTGGGGGGGGGAACAGGCGAGAAAGATGTCATGCAAGAGGGGATGAAGGTTGATAGGCACTGGCTGGTAGTGACACTGCTGGTAGCGGCCCCTGCTAGTAGCGGCCCCTGTTGGTAGCAGCACAGGCTGGCAGCGGCACTGTTGGTAGCGGTGCAGGCACTGACCGTTTTGTTCCAGTCCTCCTGCATGGCGAGCAGCTCGTCCTCCTTGTCCATCCTCTCTCTCGCCAGCTCCGCCGAGTGCTCCTTCCACCGCTCCACCTCCTCCTGCAGCTGCCGGATCTCCTGCACGGCACCCACGGGGGGGTCATGGACTGGGTGGATCACACGAGCAGCTGGGCAAAACCGCAGGTCCGAGGGATTGTGCGTTTCGAGTCGACAGAAACAGAGTTGGGGGTCATAGAGGGACTGTGGACTCTTGGGGGAGAGGGCATATGTAGGTACTGGGGAGGAACGAGTGAACGCGGATTGGGAGGTAGTCCGGCAGAACAGAAGACAGCTACTGATCATAGGAGAGGATTCTCCAGCTCTTCTGCTCGAGAAGCCTAACTTGAAGTGCCCTGGCTTCCAGCAAACCATTTCAGCGGAAGCTCTCGACCGCCCACCCTGTCGCATGTTATTCTCGGGAATTCTCAATCTTGGTGCTGCCGTTTTGGTTTCGAGCTGTTACAGTGTACCACACACATATACCACTCTCACCTGCTCTGCCTGTCGAGCAGCCCTGGATTGCGAAGGTGATGGAGCAGGCGATTCATGCTGCTGCTGCTGCTGCTGCTTCTCTTGCTGCTCTTGCAGCTGCTTCTGGGATTCCTGCAGGAGGGAAAGGTCGGAGAAAGAGACAGAGCGCGTGGGTGGGTATGATGGAGGGATTGAGACGAGAAGTTGGGGAGCAACGAGAGAAGGGACTGAGGAACACACAGCAGCAGGCATGGTTGACGTAAGAGTGTGTCCGAGAGAAAGGCAGGTGCAGTTTCACACATCGTTCTTGGCCACAGAAGGAAACGCAGCAGCCACCAGACGTAGCAGCATAAGCAGCAGCAACAGCAACAGCATTGGCGGCACAAGCAGCAGCAGCAGCAGCAGCAGTGGTGCAACAACAGAACAACAGACGTACTTGCAGTTTGTTCTGGAGTTGCTGCAGCTCTGACTGGTGCTCTGCCAGCTGCTGCTGCCACTGCCGCGCCAGCACCTCCATCTCCTCCTCCTTGCTCAACAGATTATTCTGCACGCACCAACAACGCACCACCAGTGAGTGAGCTGCGTTCAGAACAAGAAGAGAGCAAGCCTGCAGGAGGAAAGGCGCGGCCGATAAAACGGCACCCCGCATGCCCACTCTCCTCTCCCTTCGCTCACTCCCTGCACATCCACACACCCGATACCCGAATTCCCAGCTCTTATCCTTGGTGCTTCACCTGAGCATCAGCCTTTGCCTGGGAGAGGGTGAGAATGCACGCCTGCGCCTCTGCCAGCTCTCCCTTGAGAACCCCCACCTGCTGCTCCAGCGCTGCTCGCTCTGCCCCCGCACTCGCTGCTGCTGCTGCTGCTGCTTCAGCGGCTGCAGCTGCTGCAGCTTCCTTCTCCTTCACCAGCCGCGCCACCTCTTCTTGTAATAACGTGACTGCATGATCGTCGTCGCTGCCCCGTGACCCCTCGCTTACCCTCTCCCCCTGCTCCTTCTCCCTGTCCTTCCTCTCCCTTCGCTCCTTCCTCTCTCGCCTCTCCTTCTCCTTCTCCCTGTCCCTGTCTCTGTCCTTCTCCTTATCCTTGTCTCTGTCGCGTCTTTCCCTCTCCTTGTCCTTGCTCCCCTCCTCCTCCTTCTCTTTCTCCTTGCTCTCGTCCTTCGTCTGCACGACCGCAGCAACAATGAATCAACAAGAAGAGTGGCTTTAAGAGGCTACTATCGCGTGATGTTAGCTGACTAGCTGCCTAGCTGCCTAGCTGACTAGCTGCCTAGCTGGCTAGCTGACTAGCTGACTCCTGACTCCGCACACCATATCTCACCTCACCTGGCCGCTGAATTACAGCAGACTCTGCGTACACTGTCATGTAACCTTGTCCCGTTACCTACATAGAGGAGTTGGCGCATCTCCAGGCGCCTCCTCACAATCTGATTACCTCAAGACGGGTTTTGTGAGTATTTACCTTGCCCCCCCTTCACTACGCACCCTGTGGCGGGGACGAGGCGAGCTTGTGGCTTCCGAAGCAGCGGACGAGAAGGAGGGCATGCGGGGCTTGAGGCCTGATGGCTCGTCCTGGCGGGAGCGAGACGAGGACGACTGCAGAACAGCGGAAGGAGCAGAGTGGGCAGTTTGAGCGATGGGAAGGGGATGGAGAGGGGGTGGTTGTAGGGATGGAGGGACAGGGGAAGGTGAGATGCGAGAGGGAGAAGGTAAGATAGACTGTGATAATGCCAGAACCTGAGGCTGAGCGCACGGGATGGGCGAGGCGAGGTGAAGAAACGGCAAGAGCAGGAACGGGGGCGGGGTGTGGGGGGCACGGTTTGAGTCGACTCGAAACAGAGGGGAGAAGGCAGCGCGGAGCACGAAAGGAGGGTCGTGGCAAAGCTAGGCAAGTAAATCATTGTAACTGACCCTTGATGGATGCTTGGAAGGGGAGGCCAGCGACGAGGCGGTGGAGGAGGCCGAGGAGGGGGACCGCGCAAGCCCAGGCTTGCTCTGTGTGAAAGGGGAAGAGGGGAAGGGAAAAAGGTAAGGGTAAGGGGCACAGGGAAAAAGGAAGCAAGATGGAGGATAGGGAGGAGAACGGAACGAGTCACGGAAGGTACAGGAGTGTGAGCAGCAGATTGAACGTGAGAAGAGACGACGTACCCTGGGCGTATGCGAGTGAGAATGAGACAGAGAGTGGGAGGATTGGGAGAGAGAGCGGGAGCGAGGCGACTCAGCAACAACCGCGACTCTCCCAGCAGCTGAAGCCGCCTCCTTCCCCCCCACTGCTGCTGCTGCTGCCCCATCTGCTGCTACAGCTACTTCCGTGGCTGCTGATACTGCCTGTGCGTCATACTGTGGCGCTTGTGGAGAGGCAACGAGGAGGGGATTCTGGTCCATGATTGGCGGTAACGGCTCATAGACGGATGGGGGCGGTGCTGGGGTGAGCGCGGGTGACGGACTGTCCTCCATTTTGACCTGCATGTCACCACCAGCAGCGTGGCAGTACGGCGCATTAGCAGGGTGACGGTACGGCGCTTTAGCGGCGTGGCAGTACGGCGCTTTAGCAGCGTCTGGTGACGCTAGTAGCAGCAACCAGCGTGCCATAATTATTCCAAGATTATGCGACTCCTTGCACTCGTTACACTTTCTTAGCAGGAAGTTGCCGCAAGGTAGCTCATGGCTGCTCTCTAGAATTGTGGAAATATTGGACTGGCGAGGCTCCATAGACAGGCAAAACGGCCGTAACGGTGCGGCTATATGATTTAGTTTTGGCACTGTGTGTTGATGGCTGTAGTCTGTTCGTCAATTCTTTTGTTTTTGCTGTTCTTTGCTTATTTTTCCCTGCGTGCGCAAGGCACGCCGTGACGGCGCGTTGACTATCAGAACTAGCTCTAAGAAAGCATTCGCCGCTCAGTGGAATACACATTTCACGCTCAGTCACTCACCGGGTGCGGCAACACATAAGCAGGCACTGTCATTTCATCGCCTCCACCTCCACGTTGCTGATTCCTCTCGACAAAGCTCAGCGCATGGACGATTGGATTGACAGACAACACACCCTTGACTCACGGCTACCTGTTAAATTTGCCTACTCGGTCTGCCTTATCTTCTCCTCCAAACAGCGTTTCTCCCTCTTACACACGTGTACAATGGCACGGATTCAGAACTAGAGATTGAGGAAGTCGAAATTCCCCAGACAACATGTACTCCAGTTTCTTTCCCAGCAGCTATCAGCCAACCGCCACGAATTGCTGCTGTGCGTTGTGCTGGTCTGACGAGTCACGTCCGGCGTCGTTCCCTTGGTGCCTTGCTTTGGGGAGTGGTGGTGGCTCGGTGGGAGATGGAGACCAGCAGAGCCAATGAGGGTGAAGTAACAGACAACGCACCGGTCAGAAATTTGGGACTTGGTTCGGATCAGACAGTTCGGCGTGTTATCTCCGTCGGTTCGGTCAACCTGTAACGGCACGTTTTCTTTGGAAAACCTGTCATCTGCCTGCACCTCGACACGCCTCGGGTTCTGAGTCCCGAGCTACGAGGCTGACAGTCAAAGCAGAGCCAGACCAAAGCCAAACCTGGCCCGCGAAGGGGGCTCGAGGCGCTTCGCTCCAACGTCCACATCGGTTTCGCCTAAAACCTGAACCCGTTTCGTACAGGACCACGTGTCGGTAAAGCTGCAAAAGGTTGGATGAAACTATTAAGGCAATACATTACAAATGTGTTATGTACAAAAGAAGTATGGGCATTAAATAGTGCTTACACAATTTTTGGCTTGTCTAAGAAGTACCGACGCCTTTTATACATACATCAAAGCACCCAATCCTGATACACGTCGTGAGGGTCCCAATGGGTGTGAAACGATCCGATGTGCCGATCCCAGATGCAATGGTTGTGATGTCAAACATATTTGTATATGTTATAATAGGCTAGATAGGTGCATGCTCTTAGAGGGTACAACCACTTCAACAAAATCATCCTGTATCCATCATTCTAGTCAACTTCTTACTCTGAGATGGTATGACACGCTAGGTTAGGTCCTCCCCGCCCACCCGCGCTTCCGCCCCCGTCCTAGTCCTAGACGCCCACTCCTAGCCGCCCCTTAGCGCTCTTCCGGCCCCGTTAGCGCCCTTCCGCCCCCCCATCTGGCCCAATAGCGCCCCGTCGGCCCCCCTCTGGCCCGTTCGCGCCCGTCGCCCCTGTGCGCCCCCTCTGGCCCTGCTCGCCCCGCCGGCCTGCTAGCCCCCCACCTGCCCATTAGCGCCCTGCAGGCCCGTTCGCGCCCCGTCGGCCCCGTGCGCCTCTCTGGCCCCACTCGCCCCACCGGCCCATTAGCGCCCCGCCAGCCCGTTCGCACCTTACCGGCCCCGTTCGCGCCCCGTCGACCCCGTGCGCCCCTCTGGCCCCGCTCGCCCCACCAGCCCATTAGCGCCCCGCTCGTGCCCTACTGGCCCCGTTAGCGCCCCGTTGGCCCCATGCGTCCCTCTGGCCCCACTCGCCCCACCGGCCCGTTAGCGCCCCGCCGGCCCGCTCGCGCCCTACTGGCCCCGTTAGCGCCCCGTGTGCCCCTCTGGCCCCGCTCGCCCCACCGGCCCGTTAGCGCCCCGCCGACCAGCTTGCGCCCTACCGGCCCCGTTAGCGCCCCGTCTGTCCCGTGCGCCCCTATGGCCCTGCCCGTGCCCCGTCGGCCTCGTGCGCCCCGTTGGCCCCTCGCCAGCTGGTCGGCCAGCCAGCCGTCCATCCAGCCGGCTCCAGCTTCGCCAGACCCCGCTTTCGCGGCCAGCCGCCGGACCATTGAGTCACAGCGCCGACCCACCGGCTCTGGCCCCCTTTCGCAACGGCATCCCTACCGTCTGTCTCCACCGCTCTCCACCGCTCTTCATCACACTCCACCACCCTCCACAGCTCTCTACCGCACTCCACCGTACTACACTGCACTCCACCGCACTCCACCGCACTCCACCACACTGCACCGCACTCCATCGCTCTCCACCACCCTCCACCGCTCTCCATCGCTTCCTCCACCTGTCCTTCTCACTCTGTCAGCGGTCGTCCGCAGCTTCAGCAATGGCGATGGCGGAGTCACAGCTCCGGCTGGACGCAGAGGGTCGGGCGCTCGACTTTGAGTCGTGGCTCGTCGACCTTCAGCGTCACCTTACAGGTCAGCGCCAGGACGGTCACTCCCTAGCTTTTCATGTCGATGGCCTGCTTCCCCGCCCCCCTGCCCCTGCTACCCTCCCTGATGCCCCCACCACTGCTGAGCGTGACACATTTTCCGCTGCTGTGCTTGATCGTGCCGTTTGGGACTCGCGCGACGCTGTCGCCTAGCTTGCTATCAGCCGTGCGCTCTCGCTGTCTGAGCGTCCTCGCTTTACCACTGTAGCGAACGCCCAGGCCTTCTTAGATGCTGTCATTGCGTGCTATTCCATCCCTGCCAATGCCTCTGCTGGTCGCCTGATCCTTCCCATGCTGTTCCCTGATCTTGCGTCCTTCCCCACTGTCACCGAGTTTGCCACGCACCTCCGCGCGCTTGAGACAAGCTACCGCGCTGCAAGTACTGAGGCACAGCTCACTGACTTCCTGCTGCCGTTCTGCACTACCCTTTATCTCATAGCCACGTGCCTCCCTAACCACCTAGCCACAGCCCGCGACCACTTTCTTAGTCAGCACCCGGGTGACCTCTCTCTCACCGCCTTTGTCACTGCCCTGTCTAAAACAGAGACCCGCCAGCACAGCATCGCTCATTCTAGTGGTGCTGCGGCGGTACCTATCTTTCAGGGCTGCTCTGACGTCTCGGCTGCTGTTGCTGAGACCGCTGCTGCGGCCTCAGTGCAGAAGCGTCAGGATAAGGGTCGCCGTCCCAAAGGGGGGCGTGGTGGGGGGAAGGGGGGTGGCAATGGGGAGGGTGGCGGCGGTGAGGGCAGGGACGGTGGTTCAAACGAGGGGACAGGGGCTGGTGCCCCGGAGCCGCCGCCGCAGCAAATGCAGACTCAGCCGCAGCAGCCGCAGTCGACGCAGCAGCAGCAGTCGCCGTGGGGACCCCCATCACCGTCGTGGACTGGTGGCGCTAGCGGCGGTGGTCGTGGGGGGGGCGGGTGCAGCTCGGTGTCGGGTGGCAGCTCCAGCGCGGTCACCTGCGAGTACCAACTTCAGACCGGCCCTCGCTGCGGCACTATCTGCCTCCGGCCCGGCCACACCGCCGACCGCTGCTACCGATGCCTGGATGACCTGTTCCGCCACCGCTTCGGTCCTACGTCGGACCCTCCGGACTGGTACGCCCTGGCTCACCGTCGTCGGACCCTCCGGACAGATTAGGAATGCTATGACTGCCATGTATGCTGATGAATCTAGTGTGATTGGACCCTATGACCCGGTGTTGCCTAGCATAGGTGTGTCCACTGTGTGTAGTCTTGGCTCCACAATCACACTTGCATACCCCTCCTCAGGTCTGGTAGTTGCACATAGCTCCACCATCCTTCCCTGTCAAGCAGCCCCTCGAGCACTCTTACAGGCCTACACATCTCTTCGTTCTCTAAGAACCTAGTTGGTGTCGGCTGTCTTCAGGACCTCGGCGTCACCACTACGTTTCCTGGACATGAGCGGTACGCGGTCTGCACAGAGACCGCCACTGGTGCTCCTCTGACCACGTTCCCCCGGGACCCTGTATCTGGCCTGTTTACGCTTAACACAGCGTCCCCCCCGGTGCGGTCGTCCCCCCAGGTAGCCGAGACTTGCTCGTGTCGGTCGCTCACTCACCCGTCGGTGCTGTGGCACCACCGCCTAAGTCACCCTGCACTCCCATGTCTGCGTCACATGTCCCAGCACGGTCTTGTCCTAGGTCTCCCTGTGTCGCTCCCTTCCCTCCCTCCCTTCCCTCCCTCCGTCGCGCCGCCGTGCACGCCCTACGTCGAAGGCCGGCTGCGCCGTGCTCCTCACTCCTCCTCGCTTCGCCCTGCCACCACGCCACTCCAGACCATGCACCTGGACGTCTCGGGTCCCGCCCCAGTCCCTGGGTCGCGTCGCGAGCGCTAGTTCCTGGTGCTTGTTAATGACTACACGAGTTACCCGACAGTTCTTCCTTCGGAGTGTAAGGCCGACGTGCTTGACGTTCCTATCCCGTGGCTCGTAGGTGCGCGAGTTCGCCGAGGTCTCCCCGTGCCGTGTCTTGACTCCGACCGTGGCGGCGAGTTTGCCTCCGGTCGGCTTGGCTGGTTCTGTCGTGCGGAGGGCATCACCCAGTCGTACACCCTGCCAGACTCCCCACATCAGAATAGGGTCGCTGAGCAACGCATCGGCTTGGTCATGGAGGTGGCTCGTACCTCCATGATCCATGCCGGTGCACCCCATTTTCTGTGACCATTCACTGTTCGCTACGGCACTCACCAAATGAACCTGTGGCCCCACTCCCAGCGGCCGCAGATTTCACCGACCCTCCTCTGGACCAGTTCTCCTGGTGACATGTCTGCATTCCACGTCTGGGGATGCCTCGCTCACGTTCATGCCTCTGGCGTAGACAAGCTCACTGCCCGTACTGTCCCCTGTGTCTTCCTTGGTTTCCCCCTTGACTCGTCTGACTGGCACTTTTACCACCCGCCGTCTCATTGCTTCCTTCACTCGCGTGACGTCACTTTCGGTGAGTCTGTCTCCTTTTACCATCGCTTTCCCCACTGAGGTCTCCCTATTTCCCCACCCCTGTTTCAGGTTCCCACTCCTCCGGTAGCCCCTGCTCGCCTCCCTCCCTGTCCTCATCCGTCTGGTGTGTCTCACTTCATGCCCCTCCTATTGGTTGTCCTAATCGAGGAGTTGGTTGACTCTGGTGGCCCCTCCGCACAATCCTCGCCGCCTGCCTCTCTCGGTGTCCCCTCCTCCGTCATCGTAGTTGCCGCTGCAGCCATCATCGCAGCAGCAGCAGTCGCCGCCGTCAAAGCAGCCGCTGTCGTTGCAGCAGCAGCAGCTGCTCGTGGACTCTGGGGGTGCTGGCGTTTAGGAGGGTGCTAGTCCTGGGGTTCCTGTCGAGGCTTGTCCTAGCGGGCTCGGGGGTGGCACCGGTGCTGGGAAGGATTCTTGCTCTGGGGTTGCTTGCTCTGGGGGTGCTGGAGTGGAGTGTTCCAGATGTAGCCGTGGTGCAGCTCGCGGTACAGGTGTCGTCGTCGAGCAGCAGCAGCAGCA